ACTTACCCTTGAAGGGCACCAAATCTGTAAAGTATCCACTTTCCTGAGCCTTCTTAGCCATAACATGGGACCTCAAAGCGTAGTCATCCTGCTCTTTGCGAGTGACATTAAATGCGGAGGCCAGACGATCAGCGGAGTGACCCATAGTCTCACCAGACGAAAATTCAGCAACAGCTGGTAGCTGTAATGCATTTAAGAAAGAACCGATTTAAGTATGCAAAATAAGGATTTCATTTTTCTTTTTCATACTTCAGGCGCCAAGAAACCGGGCCTGAATGTCGACAGCAAAGCCAGGCGCTGTCCCAGCGTCTTAGCCTTGTTCGCCTTCAACATCAACGAACGCATTTTACGCGAATGCCGAATTGGCACATCGGACATAAACTCAACGCCGCCAGCAACTATCACATCATATGTGTTTGTAGCAATAAGACCCATGCCAGTTGTGATTGCCTGAAATGAAACTTGTATGTAATAAAGAGTACATTCGGTAAATTGAATATTACAGGTGTTTACCGCATTCGAGCTTATGCAAGCCATTGTAACTGTATGCGCAGGAGTCTTGTCGCTGAAGCCAGCTGAAAGCGCCGCCTCGCGGCCAATATTGGAAGTTTTCACCTCCTGTATAACGGTGCCATAGACAATATAATCAACAAGTTCCTTGTCCAGTTTTGTCTTTTGCAACAGTGAACTGAAAGAAATTATATATTCATCAATATATGGTATATATTTTCTATTTTCTATAACGTCTTCAACTTACAGCAAGGAATGCCTGGCCAGTTCATGTGGCATTAAATTCGAGTATGATGTACCTGAAGTCAGAAAAGGCGTACGTACGCCATCGACAAGCACTATATTTTGTGTGTTAGCATTTCGTTTTGGCTGAGCCGCAGCCTGGACGGACAAGTGCCGGCATCCATCTATGTACACATATAAAGAGAAATCATGTATATAATAAATATGTATACGTATTTGTAATGAGATTTGGATTATTAGATTACACAAAGCTGCAATAAATAATACACATCAATTATTGCAAACTCAACATGATTGCAGCTTCTTATCTAATTGGTAAATACATCATCATATTGATATACACATGAATGTCTGTATTTAAATAAAAAAATATTTTTGGACTTTGATCACTCAGATTCACTGTCATCAATTGCTTCGTCTGCGAAACCTGTAAGTCTATATGCTTTAAACAGAGGAACTTACGTGATCGCAGAAAGTTTGTTAAAGTTATAAAGTTTTTTCGGTTTTGAATAATTCGCACATTCATTTTTATTATTATTTCTTTTCGCTTAACAACTCTTTAACAAATTATGATCGATGTTTTAGCTGAAGTGCATTGGTGCTCAAAGATGGCAACAGGCTGGCCAAACGATTATTGT